CTCTTTGGGCAAGATTAAGCCGAATTAGGGGCCCCGCCGGAGGGGCTGGCGGGAAATTGGGGTTTCAACCTCGGTGTGTCTGGTGATTGCAGCCAAAAATAGCCACACAATTGTGGCCAGGGGTCGAATGTTAATTGCCCCAAATCACCGATCAGTGGGGGAAGTGTTTGCATCACATAACCGAAGCATATTTTTGGCCAACGCAAAACAATAAAAGATTATGGGTCAAGTGCCGCACCGCCGAAGCGGTTAAGTCTCCTAATTAACTGATTAGGCGGCCATAAAATCGAACTTAATTCATTCCGCAAACCTGATGACCACCGATCAGAAATCTGTTTCGACGAATTTGAATACCCCACAAGTTGAGTTCCGTGTCGATTCTCCGCCTCGGCTTTCCCATAAATCGAAAATTTATCGCCTGTTAGCCGCCGAGCCTTCAAAATGTTCCGCAACTGGAGATGGAGCTGGGGCAGCCACCCTGCAATGACGTGATAAAGCCGCGTAATTAAAATATGAACAGCGTTCATCCGTTGGCCCCAACATGGCCGCTGCCCCCGGTGGCTCTGCTCCATTTTAAATAAATGTTTTATGGCAACAGAAAGCACACAGAGCCAAGAAAAATGCTATTCGCATTAGCCGAACCGAACTGAACCTCAAGGATAGAAAACCGGGCACGAAGAGCGGCTCTCACGGATGTGAATTTGTGTGTGGTGTGTTGCCAAGAGGCCAACACATGGCCGAGATGGAGCTGCAGTTTTCGGCCGGAGCTAAAGCTGAAGCTGGAGCTGTAGCTGGAGCTGGAGCTGGAGCTGCGGGAGCTAATAAATTTCTCGACGTCTGCCTGCCAGCTTGCCTGCCGTTTGACGCTATTGATCGTTAAGTAAATTGTCTGCAATTATGCCAAAAGGGAAAATAATAGAAATTATAACGAAAAGGCTCTGCGGCGGCTGTTGACTTTGTGTGGAGTCGCGTGGTGGGAAGTGGGATTCGGAGTCTGAGTCTGAGGCGCAGTCAAAGTCGAAGTCGGATTTGGAGTCGGAATCTGTGACAGCCGCGTTTGCGCATAAGTTGTGCCGCCTTATCGGGCCCAGAAAATGCTGGCGATCATAATTCTTGCTTAGGTGGCAAATTGCTGGCAGTTGCCAATTGCATGTGGGTCAGAGCACTCACGAATCCGCATCGGAGTCCGCATCCAGATCCCGCTCCAGACGACCCGACATTTATATTTATAACTCGTGCAGCGCCCGTTAATTGTTTCGCTCTTGATAAGTGAAATTTACCGACTCCCGGAGTCGCCTAGCTCTGACGTCGGAGTGAAGCCAGTGGGGCACTTCTTGGATTTGGCTGGGTCTTGGCCTAGCTTGGCCAGCTTGGCTGACCAGCTGACTGACAACTGACTGACTGGCCAACTAACCGGGCTGCGACTGCGACTCCGGCCTGTGTCAGTTGGCTATCGCAATGTTACATCCGTGCGTGCTGTCAATTAACATGGCCGAATCGAACAACCGAATCAATTAAGCATTGGCCGGCGATGCTAATAAGGACCACGCCCCGAGCTCCAGGCCTGTCATAAGTCGAATGCAAATCTGCATTCCGAGGGCAACTCCAACAGTAGCCACTGAACTAGCTCGAAAAATTCGGTTTGCGATCTGGCCTGTCCTCCGTGCCATTTGATTGATGCTTGTTGGGGTCCCGCAGACAAACTGTTTAATTGGTCAAAAACCGAGTTGGCCGAATCTGCATTGTTGATTACATAAGCGCCGCTGGGTTGACAAATGTTTAGGCAGGACTCTGATCCTGTTTTCACACATTGTGCAACACGCCTGGGCCACGACAGTTGAGCTATGTTTTTCGGTTGACTTTTTTTGGTATTTTGGTTTTTGGGTTTTGTGATTTTGTGCTTTTCTGGGTTGGTTTTCTGGCCCCGCCCGCGCATTGGCACTTTCGGCCGAATGTTCGATTTCAATTGGAAATCGCAGCAACGTGTAAAAATATTTGTGCAACTGACTGCGTTTTTCTTTTTGGCAGTTTCTGTGTCTGTAACTGTTACTGTTTCTGTTTCTGTTTCTGATTGCTGCCTTTGATGCATTTCAAATGAGTTGATTTATGGCGAGTTTTTGGCTGGCTTTTGAATGACTGAATGACTGGCTGCCTGACTGACGGACTGCCAGACTGACGGACCGACAGACCTGTGCTAACTGGCTGGCTTGTGGCTGTCGCAGAGCATGAATGAAGGCTTGTTGATGTTGTGACAGCTCCAAAAACTGGACGGGCTCACAGACATGTTAAACTGCTTTAATTACTCCGGCCAGGCCAGCATGTGTATGCACCTATCTACATATGTACGCTGCTGATTTTCGGTCCATAGATTTATGAGAATTTATGCCGCACCCAGTTGCAGTCGCAGTCAGAGTCACAGTCACAGTCGCAGATACAGATAACTGTTCGCGTTCCAGTTTCGAGAGCTGCCCTTAGCCAAAAGGAAAGTTTGACGGGGAGCCTATCCCGGCTGACCCGCAAATAGTTCCATTTCGAGCGGGGAAACAGCATTTGACGCCCACGCGAACACGAGCCACAACAACTGGCCCACATGCTAAATGCCCACCCTTCCTTCCTGTCCAGCCTCCGCCCTCGCTCTGGCTCCTCCTCGGCTGCAGGGGGACTTTGATAAATTCCGCACAAACACACGGGTAATTTGAATAATGAGGCGGGGGCCGCGGCCAAGTTAGGGGGCATCAATCTGTCAACGCCGCGACGTCGCATTCTGTTGCATGCGCATGCGCACAGTTTGAGTTCGATGGGTTGCCTGCCACTGCCACTGGCGGCGGCGTCCAGGTCCGCATCCAAGACAACCGGCCATCGCGTGCCGTCGGCTTAAGCTGCGGCTCCTGGTCCCGCTCCCGCTCCTGCTGCTCCCCAGCCTGGCAGCCGCAGTTGTTCGCCGCGTGGGTCGTCCCAGTCTATCAATTAAACAAAGCGGCGTGGCGGCAGCAACAGCAACATCAAATGCAAGGCCGGCACGGCTGCCAGGTACCCCAATAGGACAACTCGAGGTAGGAGACTTCAGGCCCAGTCCCACTCCCGGCTGGACCCGATCCGTCCCGATCCGGCCACCCAAAACGCTGCTCCAGTTGCCATTTGAGCAGCGCTTCCGCGCTGTCGGCCAGGGCAACCAGTTTATATCTGCTGTTTGCCGGTACTGAGAAAAATGTCGTTAAATAATGCCAATTAACTAAGCACATTTTATGTTTCTATAAATTATATCATGAATAAAATTGAATTTGTTTTGATTCCATATAAGAAATTCTTCAGTTTAACCAATATAATTTGTTTCCTGCTATCCGTAGATCAATTTAAGTCTTGTTATTTTTTTTCACTGCAGCCGCTTTGTTTGACTTTGTCTGGTTTCATTTCGTTTTGTGTGTTTCGCGGGTCTCGTGCAGGACAAACATGGAGCATTATTTAACGACACAATTCGTGCAACTCCCACGCATGCAAACGGCAACTCCAAGGAAAACAAAGCCCCCCGAAAAACGAGGCGAAAAGCTGCAATAAAAAAACCAAACTGAAAGCGAAAAATGCGAATTGAGGGTCTGAGGTCTCCAGTCTGATGGCTGATGGCTGGGCTCTTAACTGATGGCCCAGCGACCGAAATTGGCACAAAAATGTCACCGGCCTGCCATGGAGATCGGGATGGGGCTGGGTCTGGGGCTGGAGAGGATTACGGGGGATCTCGTGAATCCATCGATCATCGGCGGGAAAATGTCAAATTGGTTTATCAGCCCACAGGAAAGGCGGCTTTAATGTCAGTTTAGCAATTTGACAAATGACTTGCGATAATAAAAATGCTAAAAATGTGGCACGTCGCGAGGTGCATGCGCGTTCATTGAACCCTGGCTCTAAGCCCGGCTAAAACCGATCAGCGGCTGTTATCGATAAGACCGCGCTTGTTGGTAGCTTGTTAGATCACATGTAAGCGTGGCTCGAGCCCGAAGATTGACGATCGCAACGACGACGATCGTGGCCATCGCCGGACATGGACATTCATAAATCGGCTGTATCGCATTTCAGTAACCACTGCCACAAATTACACGCAGCCCGGCGACAAGGGGCATTAATAATTGCCCAGCTAAATGCAATATCGAAGCCCCGAGAGCAGGCTTATCAATAAAACTGTTCGCCGGCCACGCCCGCACACACGCACTGCCAAAAGTGCGGCGGCTCCTCGGGCTTCGGCTCCGGCTCCCTCCTCCCTCGGCGACTGCAACAGCGCCAGCGATACCGATTCCGATTCAGATTCCGATTCCAGGATGACAAATTGCGCAAATCCATGAGATAGTTTTTGGCTCTTAGCATTTGCACGATCGCCGGCCGGCCGGCCGTTGCATAATGTGCCGCTTAGATTTGTATCTGCTGCATGCACCATGTTGTTGACTCAAAACGCTGTCAAAATGGCCAGCCAGAAATGATTCGTGCGATAAAGAGTCAAAAAAGACAACGGCAGGCAAACAAATGCAACAAATTCAGCGACTTACGAGCTGTGGATTGGGCTAGGCCTGCGCCTGCTCTGGCTTCTGCTCCTGCTTCAGCTTCTGCTCTGGCTCTTGCTTCTGCTCCACTGACCACTGGCCGGGCATGGACATTTAATAAACATTTTTGCACCATTTTTCAGCCGCCCGTCCGGCTGCTGCGACTGCCGCTGTCACTTCGGCTAATGGCCGTCGTTAGCTGTTCATCTGCGCCGGGCTTATCAATTTATCAGGCCCGGCCCCACCGGCATTTAGCCAGTCTAAGCGTCTAATTAAGTTGCGCCAGCACGAGCAGATACAAATGCTGATCGATGGCAGAACCATCGCAGGCTTAGCGGTTACAGATGGACGAGGATGCAGACGTGGAGGTGAGTGAGGAAAGATGGCGATATTCAAGAACATGGTCTGATCGGGAACTATATTCAAGAAGTTCAGGCCAAATTTTTTACATTTTTAAGTGTTGCGAGCTAACGAACTTTTATAAAGTAGTTAACAAGGATTAACAGTAAATATACATTTAACACAAATAAATATACAAACAAATAAAACGAAAGGCGGACTAGAATTCAGTTCGGTGGCTATTTGTCTGTCTGACCTCCCGAAACAGTTGCTCAAAGAACCGGCACTCCTGCTCCGACAGAGTCAGCACTAGCGTGTCCGTCTGCAGGCCCAGTTCACCCGAGTCTGAATCTGCCTCGGCAGAGAGGGCATAAAGAGGATGTGGAATAGAGGGCTGAAAGTCCGTTCGGAAGTCACGCCGGCAGAGCGGACATCGAGAGTCCTGGCCCAGCTTGAGATATCGCTCGAAGCACTCCGCGCAAAAGGAGTGGCCACAGGAGATGCGACGTGGCGCTCGCTGTTCATCCAAGCAGAATATGCATGGACTGGAGGTCATGGTCGGGTTGCAGTTGCTTCTCTGGCTTTCGCTTTGCTTACCAACGGCCTTGAAATACAAAATATACAGATTTCCTTGTATGGTGAATGCTGAAATTCTGAATTCCAACTTCGCTTGAATGACATTTCTCTCCGGCCTGCTTTGCCACTGGCTTGTGGTATTACTCGATTAGGGTTGCTTGGGTGAAATTAACATTTTTAGAACTGCTAAAATAAACCCTTAAAATCTAAGCTTAAATATTTTAAATACTTTCATATAACACTCTAGATATTGGAACTGAAAAGGTCTATTGGTGAGACTTAATACAAGGCTTAAATTCGATCAAGAGTCGTGATTTTAATGATGCGAGGCCCAAGACTTGGTGCAGACATGTATCGATAACAGAGCTGGCCTGGTAACACCTCTCAACTTCATCCCAGCTGCACCCAGCTCAGTTCTTGATGAAGTTCTCATTCAGATCGTGTTCGGATCGCCGCGACTCGTTCCCAGGCAGCTCTTTTGCATAATTCCATTTAATCTCGGCCAGAGTTGAGGGCAATTTTCAATTTGCCGTGCCGGCGACGCTCCTGTGGCTGTTATTGTTAATATTGCCATTGTTGTTGCCGGCACAGCCGCCGTTGTGTTGTTGCCATTCAAATTGCATTCAAATCAATTACATTCGAACTAAACATAATTCATGTGGTATGGGTTAATACAACAAATTACAACTGACATTTAAGCAGAAACATGAAACGGACAATTTAACATGAGCGCGGGATGAAGGCAGAAAGAGCCCAGGCAAAGGAGAGATATACGGCGAGCTCGGGCTCAGCAGCGGCAACTACTTCTGGGGCTGGCTGACTGGCTGGCTGGCTGGCAGGCATCAGGCATCATATGCTGCGGCCGAAAAAAGGCCAAAAATATATGTACGAAATTCGAATATACAAAATCCGAAAACAGAATTCGACTTGACTGGAGCCCCACACCAAATCGCAGCCACTCGGCCCGAGCTGGGCCGGCCAGCAGTGAGCAATCAAGGCAGGGTGACCTTCAGTATCCGCAAAAATGAAAATAAACAAAAAGCCAGAAACGACACGAAAAAAGTGCAGCCCCACACACAGGCGAAACAACAATAAAATTCTTTTCTCACGATTGTTGACTTTAACACTTGCAGGAAAAAACCAAAAGCCTTACAAAAATACGGACAAAAACATACAAAACAAAAAGTTAAGAGTGCGAGTGGCGTTCGAGAATTCACTGTCATTGCCTGCGAGTCTGAAATTAAGCCCCACAATGAACACAATGAAAATGAGCTACTGCCGCTGGGAAGTGGCTGCCGGTTCCGCCGGCGACAAATTTCCGAGCTGCGATCTCGAGGCGGAAGAAGACTCTCCAGCTCCGGGGCTGGCCCAAAGTGCCCTGCTCCACATGCATTTCAATGGAAGCGAAATCGAAGCGGAGATAAATGTTCTGGCCGGCTCTTGTTTTACTTAATTTTATGTGCTTTGCATATTTTCGCAGGGCCGGACATTAAGCATTTAGCCTGCGTGCCGAGCTCATTTATTTGCTGCAGTTTCTGTTTATCGATTGAATGCATTCTGGTTTTGCCTTCTGCAATTAAGTGAAATTTATGTTACTGCTGGTTCGTCGCTTAAGTCTTTTGTTTGTGGCCCGCGCGCCAAGGCACGTAAATTGCCGAAAAAGCCGCAGAAAAATGCGTTTCCTACTTAGCGTGGGCAGACAGTAAGCCGGCTGAAGCCCCCGCGACCTTCCCCCGCTTCCCTGACGACCCTCCCCTGCGCCACCACTATCCCGCTCCGACAGGCCAAGCTCTTGGCTATCCTGCTAGCCAGCTCCTCATTTTAATCCGCCGCGTTGGTGGCGTGCATACATAATGCATAATTACCGGTTTCACTTTTCTCTCCGCTGGATGGCTGCGATTATCTTGGCATGCCTTGGCGTTTTTATTCCACCGAACAGATATTGTATTTTACAGGCACTGCGGTTTTATTGCCTCGCTCGTATGGTTTCTTAATTTTTAATTTTTATGATGTGTTAATGGATATTTCTGTGACATGACCTCCTGGCGTGCCGTTGTCGTTCGTCAAGCCTGTCCGCCGTCCCGTATTAAATTCAAAGCCAGAAGAAGGGGAAACAGGAGCTCTACGAGGGGGAGCCGAGTTCGAGTCCGGCATTATGCAATCTGCGACTGTAATTGAAGCTATTTAAAGCTCGTTACACGGCAAGGACACGGCTGCGGATTCGCAATCAGTCAGGCAAGGGCGTTCATCCCGAGGGGCTGTCAATCAAGACTGAGGCCGGGCTTAGTGCTGCATCGGGTGGTGTGGTATCCCTAGGTGGCGCCCTCCGCTAGCCACTCGGCCATTTGGCCAATCATCGCAGTTAAGTGCGCTTCACGCAACCGAATGTGACCCAGTTCCGGCTCGAAGCGGGAATCGACTTGTCGCTCAAATTACACGCACAGAGCCAGGTCTTCGGCCGGGGAATGATTACAGGGCCCAGGGCGTGCAATTTGCATCAATAAAACTGCGAACAGAGAACTGGTATCTGGAATCTGTGCTCCGCAATCTGGGATCTGGAATCTGGACTCTCTGCTGCTGTAGGTCAGTTTGCAAAGGCAGTCCGGACGGCGTTGATATGCTGCCTGCTTCTGCATTCTGCATCTGCATTCTGGGTCTTCAATCAAGTGACGATGGGCGCAAACGAGCCGCCACATGACCGCAGATGGATTCCAGGGCTGTCCAGCCCATCAGACGCCCCTCGGCCACTTTCATCTCGGCCGCGATTTATCCCCAGCTCCGCTTATCGAAGACGAGCCGCGGATTTGACGGGTGTCGGAGCCACCAATTGACCGGCCAATAATTACTTTCTCTGCGAGTGGGCAACGACTGTTATTGATTTCGGCTGATTGCCGCCATAATTTTATTATGCATCATTAAGATAAAGCTGCCCTCCCCGGCCATTTGCAAATTGTTTACGGCTTATGGAAGCATCTTGAAAATGCTCAAATCTTCAAATCTCCACCCATTTCATCTTGCGCCGAATCTGAGACCTTTTTCACAGGCTCCAGAAGCCAGACTTTCCAAAACAAAAAGCCCAAACATTATGATGTGCAAATGTGAAAGGGCCAGCTGAGAATATCGGAGGGAAATAAAATTATACATTATTGATAACCCAAAGCAAGGGATTTCCATTTGAATAGGAGGCCCCCAAGCCGCAGAATGATTCATTAGCTTAATTTTAGCAAGTTATATTGCCTAGTTATTACAAGCCACCGGTGAGGTGAGGTAGGGTTCTTGAACCCTTCGGTCAAGCTCCCAGCTTCGTCAGAAACAATCAGGCATGAAGGTTATAATTTTGAAAAATTAAGACGGCTCTTTATCTGGAACTCGTTAAAGCAACCATGAAGGATAAGCGTGCACAAATTGAGCATCAACTTGAACTGACTTTACCCATTACCTTTCCGCCGAAATAAGACGAGAATCCCAATAAATCGGGCCTATTCGAACTGAAAAATCTCTAATCAGAGCGCCTGCTTCAGAGCCTTACAAAGGGATAATAAAGAACCAAAGGGCCCTTGCCCTTTTATAAACACTGGCGCATCAAGTAGAAGTTTTTACATTATTGTGCAACTCTTTTTTGTGCCAGTTGAAGTCCGCTAAATTAACTTCACTTCACATCAAAAAGCCACCAAAATAATATAAATTCACAGAGCCCGGCGAGCCGGGAGGGGAAGCTGCAGCGTCTCCGCAGACTTCAAGTGTTATTCTCTGACAGTTCGGACGTCAACTTTAAAGTGAGATCTGTCATAAAAGAGCCTGCGCCGCTTTTGATTTTGATATTTTTGGCGGCTCTTCGCGAAAAAAGCGATCAGAGATATATATGGGGGAAAAGGCTGAGAGCCGAGATCTGAGAGCTGCGAGACATGCAACTGCCCAAAAATGTATGCAGATTTTTAATTAAAGCGCGTTATCAACAGAGCCGGGCCAGCAGCGAAACGGCCAAAATAAAAACAACGCAAACCGGTTGACCCGATAGCCAATTTGGTCGGGACTTGGGGCTTGATCGTTTTGATCGCTGCGTCGTCTTGGAGTGGCACTTCCTTAATTGGAGCAAGCATAACAACAAGTGCAAGCGCTAATTTATTATGTTATTTAATAAATATAATTAATTAGGAAGAAATACCAGAGAAGGCCTGGAAAACCAGCTTCAGCAACCGCATAAAAATTACTTAATAATTTCCCTCAGAAATAATTAATATCAATATTATTCAGCCTCTCCGCCCGAGGGCCGCATCATCATCGAGTCGGGCATGTCAGCGGCAACGGCGTGTTAAGCATTATTTCGGCTGGCCCTTAACCCCCTCCTTCCACCCGGTCGCGACATAAAAATGCTTATTACCTACAACAGAACATGTACCACGCCCCGAGGCGACTCACAATTATATATATACTCTCTTAAATATTGTTGCCCCAACGAGTATATAGTAAGGGCTCTCGAGGTAACTTAAATCAATTGCGGCATATAGCGGCAGGGCTCAAGCTGCGACCGAAGTCTGAGGAAGATCTCCGGCCCGTTCGCAACGCTTGAGTAATTTTGAATTTTGCGGCTTTTGTCCTTAGTGGCAAATGACTTGGACTTGGAGTTGGCTCGGATGCTGCCGGCTCCTGGCCAGCGCTTTATGGCATTTTATGCTACTTACGCTGCTTCTGTCCCCGGCCAGGCCCGCTCTCGCCGCCGTCCCCGAATGACCGTAATTAATCAATTTGGCCAAAATGGCAGCGGAGGCCTTACAGATTGGTCAACGGCAACGTCCGTGTAATAACAATGAAACCAGCGTGTGTGCTGCCGACTCTCGGCCAGGCTTGTACTCATGCATATCCGCACACCATAAATTATGTTCGCACAGGGTTAAGCGCATTATTTAGGCATTCATCACGCGCTCTCCCCAATCCCGACCCCGAGCCCGAGCCCGAGCCCGATTGCGATCCTTAACCCGATCCCGTTTCCAGTCCCAGGTCCCGGTCCGAGCCCGAACCCCAGTCTCTCGGCCACTGTGCCGTGTAATAATTTTTGAAATTTATGTAAACAGTGTTGATTATGGATGAGTTATGTAGCATGTTCTACCTTTTGTTTTGTTCGCACTGCCGGCGCAGTTAATTTTAAGCTTGTTTTGCAACTTCGTTTATCAGCTCCCTGCCTCCAGATCTCCCGGCGAAAACCCACCTGAGTCATCGTCCAATTGATGTCTTTATTAGGCCTCGGTCGCTGTCGCCACTTGGCTGTCAAATGTTGAAGACTGGCTTTTGGTTTTTAAAGAATATTTTAATAGAAAGTTGCATCCATAAGATATAAGTTTTTTATTAATATCGCTTGTATAAATATATTTTATTTATTTGCTATAGTTTTCGCTGGCAGATGTTTCCTTTAACGTCAACTCCGAGGAGCTTGGTCAGACCACGTTCATGCATCGTTCGCGTGCTTGATCAGCACATTAAAAATTACACGAAAAATAGCTGGGCCCGGCTGACAAACGTTTCTCGGGGGCAGCGCGGGAATTATGACCTGCGGGCCGGGCCAAGTGGCTGCAGCCATTTGGGTGGCGCCTTTGTCTCTCGCTGGCGAAACGTGCCACAGTCGGAGTCGCAGTCGAAGTCGAAGTCAGAGTCACAAATAGTGCCACATGCGGCGCTGGTTGCCTGCAACGTTTCATGCGCGAATAATATTTTAATTCTGTCGATCAGCCGGCACGTTTCGTCGAAGCCAATCACAGAGCCATCGACATGTCCCCGTGCGCCGAGAGCGACGCATGTCACCCGCCTGCAGTTGTGGGTGCTCGACTCGGGCTAATGGAGCTCTTAAGCATGCGAGCTGATAAAAGCGACAAAACATTTAACAAGTAATTAAACATAAAGCGCGCCCCACATGACTGCTGGCTGGTTCTGCCGCGCGGCCATAACTGTAACTGCAATTGGTCCAGAAAGTGGGTTAAGGACGCTGCACAGCACTCAGCGCCGGAGCTGCACCGCTGCACTCCACCCCCTGGGACAGCCCCCGCCTTTGGCAGCCAACATTCATTTCGATCTCGCTCGCGTTCCTATTTATTTTTTGCTGGGTTTCTCAGATTTTTTTTCGGGTGAGTTGTAATAGAGTTGCTGAAATTTGGCATTGTATTTATGGCCCAGGCATCTGACCCACACCCACATTTCATTAGATATCCACCCTGGGCGCGGTGATAAATGCGATAATAAATATTCGAGTTGTTTCCCTGCGAGTGTTATAATTTAGTGTTGATTAGTTTGCGCAAATAAGAGTTATTGATTCAATTTCAATTAAAAGGATATGAATGTTTCGCCTAGGCGCCGGCTCCCCGCCGGAGCACTCACCCAAGTCCACTTGCGGCTCGCCCACGAACAAAAGACTGAGGCAACGAACTTGTTTCGCAGAGTGTGTGTTTGTTCGGCTCTTTTGGCACCTCTCTTCAGGCACCAGGGCATTGATACGGCCCGGTTATTAATGATGCCTAATGAGTGGGTTGGACCCAAAACCGCGCAGCCGCAACTGCAACTGCCACTGCTACCTGGCAGCGAGCGGGGCAATTATGTGTCATTTGTACGAAATCCCAGGGACATGCAATTTGGGTGTATGCTCAAGACTCGAACTAAAGCGTTTATTAACTTATTTTCGTAGGGGTGCCAGTAGCTCGCTCGCAAGTGTCAAAATAGTCGGGTAACTCTACAAGGGCACCGAGAGCTGCCAGCGCAGGCGATTGGGATTCCCGGGGAACTGATAGCCAGAACTGGAGCTGTGTATCGAGGAGGGGGAGGCTGAAAGGGAAAAACAGACCCTCAAGAATTGTCATCCTGACAAATACAAGTGAAACTCACATATAACAATGACGCTTATGAGCTATGCCAACACATGGGACAAAACACTGCGTTAGGAGGCCTGATCGGAATGGTTGTGGGACAGTTGACGCATGGTAAAGGTGGTTTCTGCTGGTGAAAACGGGACAAAACACATGGTAACAGCACATACTCAGTGGAAAGTGCTCCACGGCCTACCTGGGGTGCGGAAGCCCTCCTGGATCTTATAGATCTCGTTCAGCTCCCGAGCACTGCACAGGGGCGTATCCACCTGGGTGGTCTCGTTGAAGCGACCGTAGTCGATCTCGTAGGCCTGCAGGTCCTTGTTGTACAGCACCACCGGGTCGAAGCGGTGGCCCCACAGGATCTCAGTGTTGATGTAGCTGGACCTGGCCTGGGTGCTCTGGCCGGTGGACTCCACGGTGCCCTCCAGTATGACAACAATTTCGAATTTGTCCTGCAGCATGTCGGTGGCGTTCAGGTTGTACAGCGGCGAGTTCTCGTCAATCTTGTGCTCAATGACCATCGGCCAGATGAAGAACAGATCCGAGCCGGAGTCATCGGTGCCAATCTCCAGCTCCGTGAAGTACTGAGTCATCACCTCGCCCTCCTTGGTGCTCTTGGTGCGAATCAGCTGAGCCCTCACCCCAGCTCCGATGATGTGGGACTTGCGCATGTCTCCCACCCTAAACATCAGCGACAGGCAGCCGTCCCGCTGGCAAATGACCGCGTGCTTTGAGAAGAGCAGCGTCTGAGCCCGTTGCTTGGCCCGCGTCATCTTGGCGAACACTATTCCGGCCATGAATGCAGAGGACATTACGCCGTAGATGGACTGGAAGCACATCATGAAGATGGCCTCGGGACACTCGGGCGAGGTGGTGCGCACTCCGTAGCCGATTGTATGTTGCGTCTCGATGGAGAACAGGAAGCAGGAGGTGAAGCCGTCAATGGCGGAGACACAGGGCGCCCAGCCAGACTCCTCTGGAGAAGTACAAATAATCAAAAGGCTTACCATTACTTAATGCTATCTTCCTTACCCTGGTTATCCGGCAGATGAAGCTCCTCCAGATCGCCGTGTGTGTAAATGATCAGCCACCAGATGAGCGCGAAGAAGAGCCAAGACAGAATAAAGCTCAGGGCGAAGGCCAGCAATGTCCATCGCCATTGCCAGTCCACCATGGTGGTGTACATGTCCTGCAGGAAGCGCACGCGACGCCTTTGGAGGTGCTTCTGCACCACGTTGCAGTCGCCATTCTTGAACACAGCACGTCTGCGCACTCGACGCATGCTGCCAGGCCGGAAATTGCGAGATCTGTGGAAAAATAAATTGCATTTAAGATGAATGCCTAAAAGTGTGCTATGAAATCCTGTTGGCATGGCTGTGGCTTCTGTAGGCAATATTATTTTTGGAAAATTATAAGTGCTGGATTAATAAATAAGAGATAAGTAAAAAGATAACGAGAAACGGAATCTGAAGTTTGTATACCCAGCAGAGTGCCATAGGATCATGGCATTGAATCAAAAATAGATCATAACTAAGCAAAAAATGCAATGCACAAAGTTTTCTAGGTTACTTTTTAGATATATATAATATGACCTCCTCTGAAAAACCTTTTATAAGTAGACTTATTTTAAGATACAATTAACGAGACGTTAGTGTAACCTTCAACATTCCTCTGCTGTTATCATTTCATTGCCATGTAATTTCTATGATTTATGCAAGCGTCAGCTGCAATTGGATGTCTCGACATCGTGTTTTTTAATTTGCTTGAATTAACTGTGCGCTCAGACACTCGTTCTTTTTGGCCAGGCCACACGAGAAGTGCATCTAATTAACAGAGCCAGCAGGCGGACTTTAGACGAAATCAGAGCAATCGCATCCCGACTTATGGGACTTAATTGCAGCTCACCCACCGATCTTTTGATTTATTACCCCGACCTGTCACAGCTCGCTGCGGTTTAATGGGGCTGGATCGGGACACCCACATGGGGACTGAGCTCAATCATCGCCGGACTGGCAGTCGGTCACCTTAACCCCGCATTGACACCCGACACTTGCAGCGCGAGCAGAAGTCGATTAATTGGCATTGTGCCGATTGCATTAATGCCCGCTAATCAAATTTAGTGCCTAACTGGCTATATATACGCCATGTGATTCATCTTGCCGCCTCGCAGTGTGTCTCACTTAATTCTTCATTGTTTTCACTCAGTTGAGCGGCCCACGCATTAGTCAAAAATAGGGAAGAATCTCTGAAGCTGCCGTCGCTAAACGGAGAAGGAAGAGGAAGCTACATATCTCCGGTGGGAAACCTTCTGCCCAACCGTTTAGCGGCTGACAGGTGTGGGAACGAGTGGGAACACGATTCGGGAGGCAGCACAGCCTAATGAATCGCACTCGTAACGCGCCCCTAAATCAAGCGACCTGCACTGCAATCTGCAGTCACTAAACAAACCCCTGCCGTGGGCGTAGCCATATAAATTACAACCGCAAACGGCGGGCGGCGTTCCGCTAATCAGCTAGACAAAAAGCCAGCAAAGAAGATGCGACAACGTGACACTGACGGACGCACTGACGCACAGCCGCCTGCCGATGATTGAGCGGCTGTCGGCAAGTTCAAGTTGAATGTCAAGCCCCTTGACGAGCTAATTACCGCGCGGAAACTCTGGGCCATTGGCTAATTGCTGAGCGGAGCTCCTATTTCTACTCAAATTTGGGATGCCTCACGGGGAGGAAAAGCCCATGGGGTTATGTTCCGGTTTCTAAAAGGAAGTATTTGCCTAGATACAATGGATAAAATAAATAATAAATAAATATTAACTGTTTGCATTCTAGAGCCTTTTGAATTTTAAAAAGTGTACTTGAAAATTTCTAAATATGAAAAATTATGTTCATAATTCATTTCTAACTATAATTATTATCCTTTTCATATTAAACTTTGGAAAGTCGTTTAGTTTGTAGAACCTCGTAAAATATTAATACCAAAATGAGGAAAAATTATACTTTTAGAAAAAAAAACTCCTATATCTCTCTGCTATACTCCCTAGAAATGCGCACCCCTTGGCCAGCGAATGGCTAGATCCTTTGAGCGCCTCGTAGTAGACTCCCGCCTGCGAGGGCGTGTGCGAGATGCCGCGCATGTACTGTCGCTTCCACTCCTTCATGTGGGCAAATGTCTCCTCCTTGTCGCCGGCGCCGCCGCCGTTCAACGTCTCGGCATCGGCGGGGTCCTGCAGGACCTGGACATCGCTGAGCGGAACCTGCATCTCGCTAGACGTTCTAACTTCGCGCTTTCAAATCAAACTGAAGCTCCTCGCCCAGCCATTACGCCCAGGCCAACGTCAGAGAGCCCCGAATTTGCCCAGCCAATTAGAGACGCTCTAACTAATGGCCCAATTATTGACCCAGTCACTTAGCCACTTGATCGGGTAAACAGACTACCTGGGAAACTCACCTGCAGCTCGGCTGCCGCTGGAACCCCTTGCCATTTGCGGAGAGGCCGTAGAAGCTGGTCGGCCGATTGGGCACTATGGTGATGGGGTAGGAGTGCGGGTTGCTGATCACGCTGTCCAGCGAGTCGGGATCCGCCTCGATGGCCTTCTTCAGGGGCTGGGCTGCCTTGTCGCCACCATTGGCCTGCGTAGTGGTCGTCGCCGTCGAGGTGGGCGCCGCCGAGTGGCTGGAGAAATTGAAACGCATCTGTGGGAGGTCGGTGTGATAGCCTTTTCAATTAAATTGCTTGGACGAGGTCGGGTGAGTGCCGCCTCGAGTGGGCAAACAGAAACTTGCGATAAGTGCAACCCAGGTGCGATAAATCTATTTTACTATCGTCGGCATCAGCGTCAGCTGATTTGCCCAGATTTCTGCGAAGCAAACTGATCTGCTATCAGACTGATGGAGTCACGGGTAAGTTATTTTATTTTATTTGCATTATATATAGTGTAAAAATTAATTCGGGCAGCTCCCGAAGTTACAGCAGCACTTCCTCAACCCGTATGATTTTTCACACCCTCTCAGCACTTTTCACAAGATTCGAGGCGAGCACTTGGGCCTATAGCGAACCCATTTGGAAAATCTGCGCACGCACCGTGAATTCTTTGATTGAATTTCGCCCGTTCGGCACGTTTCAGCTTAAGTAGTTTTAGCACCTTCTTATGAGCCGTCAAAATGTTCAATTGATTGACACTTTTGAACCGATCAGTTGTGGATGGCCATATTGTTGTACCAAAGAGTTTCAATCGCTGTGGGTTGACACCAAAATATTGTAACTATTTTGACGAGCTATTCCGCTTCATGGGTCGGCGCGTGTCGGGACTGGAATGAGACGACTGGAGGCCGCGAGATCACAGGGCACTCGACTCCGAGCCCACAGAAGCCGCAGCCACAAAGCTACTGGATCGGCGAGAGCTACGGATCCGCAAGTCTGCCCAATGGATTAAATGACGGCCGACTGAAAGAACATTTTTCAAACTAAACAAAAGTTGTGAGCAGAAAGCGAAGCGCTGTAAATGAGCTGCTGGCACACACACCCGCGCAGGAAGAGAGAATTACACACACCGCACACACACCGCCCAGAGTCGGGTCGACACTTCTCACACTGCAGATTGGCGATGCTCTCACAGATACAGTTACCGAAAGATACAAGTTGTGGCTTGCCGCGGAATAAGTTCAATTGGAATGATTCGTAAATTGAAAACGAAGCGGAAGATAAGCGCGATAAGCTCATCTTATCTCGCGGCGGAGGAGAGAAATCAGCGGCCAGACACTTCTCAATGCAGGCGACCTTGGGCCTCCGTGAGCAAGGGGTGGCGTATGCGTAATATTCTGTGCCCCCCTCAAGTGTCGCAATATCGATCGGCCAGGGCCCGGAAAGCTCTGATTTATCTGAGATGGGTTGGGATGGGAGAAGTTTCTGAAATCTCTATTTGCATAGACGGTGCACACAATGGCCCTCGTTCGCATCTTCATTTAATTTTGAGTACAAGGTGGCGTATACGTAATATTCGTGTGTTTACCCGCCACTCACGCGCAAATCGGCTGCATTGTGCAAACACAAACAGTGGTGACGTTAATGGCAGAGATATATCCCAGCAGCGTTATGTCCGCCGAGGTATTGCTGGGGGGCAGTCATCGGGAAAGTCACGCGTAGTTTCTTTTTATGGCTTCCAACCAATTATAACCGATCACCAACGCCGTAAATCACTGGCCATTGTGACGACTACAAAGCCGAATTTAACACCGGACAACTTTAAAAGAACAACTTATAATTTAGAGTTATGAAGTCTAGATCCACTCTACAGTCCTTAGTGAATCCATAGCTTCTCCACCCTGAAAATATTTAGTGAAACTATGGTTTATACCGGACTGCTGACTAGACCAGCTTGTCGTTGTGTTTGGCTTTTAATTGGTAAACAATTAAGAAAATTCGCTTAAAATCGGTGAGGAAATGTTCAAAATTACTAGGAAAATATTAGAAAAACCCCATCTGTGTGTGTGGCTTGAGCTGATTCTAGGTGTGTGACCTGCTGATCTCCCCTGGGGCACCCAGTCCAATGCAGACACCTCAATGCTCTTCCGTCATTCCTGTCGCATCACAATTTATGATCCACTAAATCCACTAAACGCGGATGAAGAGCGCCCAAACAGCTGGGATAATTGAATAATCAGCTTGGTGGCTCAGTGTGTGTGCGACCCCCGGAGAAATATATATGCGAGTGACCAGAGCCGCCGTCTCCGAAGCCCCCTTTTCCACATTCCCACCCCATTAGGGGTGGCTTAACTTGCGCCAAGTGCAAATTTGTAGTCAATCATGGTGCCACTCCGGTGTCCAGGGGTGTTAATTAGCGTTTAGGTCCGCACAGAGCCTCCAGCGGGGCGGCTATTTCTGTAATGGTCAACAAATCGATTCGGTTGACTTTCCCAATTAACCCCCCTCCGACAGATTTATATATTTATTGCTAAAATTATGCGAAAAGCTGCGTTTGGCGGGATGGGGCTTTAAAATGGTTCACGTTTGCATTATGCAAGAGCGATGCGGCTTTGCTAGATTTTATTAAACTATTTTGATTCGTTTGGAAGTGAAATAATGAGCTAGAGGGAGGCCTTTCGAAGAAGATAAACGAAGAATTTTTTAAAGATTAAATTACAATAGTTTAAACGAAAATTGCATGGTAACCTTAACACTTGTACCTACAACTACCTACTATTTTAAACTTAATATACAAAAAATATATTATATTAGAAACATAACATTCCAGGTGGTCGTTTTAAACACTCTTATTTGTTTCGTTAAAGTGCACATATCTAAGAAAACTTTGACTGTGAAATGAAATTAATTTGCGCCCTGTGCTTTATAGACCTGCGAAATAAATTAAAGAAATTTGGTTTTTAAAATCTACGTTTTATTTTCACAGTGTAATGTAAGCAGTTTTACCAAGCAGTTTGTTAGCACCAAGCAGTTCGGTCAAGCAATGTTATCGAGACCAGCACTGTTGAAACCCCAACTAAAAAGAATAGCAAGTGCTACAACCAAGATTTTTGAACTGCTTTCCGAACTGCTTGCTTTACACTGGGAAAATAAAACGTAGATTTTTAAAACCAAAAATAAAAATTATTTTTTTCTCTTTCCTTCAATCTCAGTCTTTGTTTATTAATCAGTCTTAGACCGCTCCAATGCCTTTATAGACTCGGTAAAAATGTCCCTATAGAATTTCTGTATTTCTAGGTTGGGACATTGCCAGATCATTCCTTTAGAACCAAGAAAAAGCATTCAAATAATAAAATATTTCTTTTAATTTACAAAAACATCGTGTGCCAGTGGATGGCGATAGACTGTGACTATTTACACTTTAAGGAAAGAAAGAAAGAAGTCCTGACTTTAGGCATGGGTGTATACAGTGTGTGTGTGTGTGTATGGTGAGTGTAGTTGGGAGGGGAGGGGGGATAAATGCTGGAACTCTTACAGACTAGGTGCTAAAAATATAGCTAATCGTATAGCTAACGATTCCTACGAACTACGAAAATTGTACAATGAAATTTGCATTTAAATATTCTGGGTTTCGCGCGATCTTTCACAAAATGGCAATACGAAATGTGTGCTTGTGGCGTGAATGTGTGATGTAAGTGTGATGTAAGTGTGTGTGTGAGTGTGGTGTGTGAATTGTGGTGTGTTTACATGGCAGCACCGTTGTAGTGCTGATACATCTCGTCCCAGAACCTCTGGCGCTCCGGCTCCGGATTCGTCTTCATGGCCAGATTGGCGGAGATGTCCATGTAGTTGAGACTGTTCATCACGTTGGTGGGGTCAATGGGCGCCCACTTGGTGGTCAGGTAGGGGTCCTCCGTGTCTGGCGTGGGAGTGCTGTAATAGAAACCTTTTTAGTCGATCGAGATCTAGGGATTCGGCGAGATTTCTTACCCGTATTTGGCAAAGTTCGTCCACATGCGCACCATGCGGTTCTTGACCTGCACCTCCATTGACTTGGGGTCCAGGCTCAGGTTGAAGAAGCCGAACTTGAAAAGGTAGCCCAGCTCGTCGCCGTGACAGACTCCGGGTCTCGGAATGCCCAGCATCCGCTTGTACAGCCCCAGGGCGCCGTCGAAGGAGAACCTGTACATGTACACCGGCGCATTGCCGTACTTGGCGTGGTTTCTAGCCGTGCGACGGATGCCCTGCAGGAACATGAGATCGGTGAGGAGCTAAGGAACGGGGGAGATGGTTTTAATAAGCTTTTGGATGTTCAAAGCTCTTCAGTGGAGTACACACCGCTATCATCTCGTCCACGGACTCAATGCCCACGTGCTTGTTGCCCAAGTAGAAGGATCTTATCTCGCGCGTAACGCGATCATGGACATGCGTCACATTCAAGTCCTGCGGCACCAAGCGCCCAAAGTCGTTCTCAATGATGCTCAGCAGTTGCGGATTCTTTCGCAGTCCTGGTGGGGAAATAATAAAGAAGGATGTAATATTCAGTCCCTAAAGCTAATCCCAGCTTATTCCTTCCACCTTTCACTCACGTCTTATAAACAACATCGCCTCGTGCGTGTTGTAGCCCGTCATGTAGGCCACGTCGCTGTTGAAGTTCTGTGTCTGGTACATGTCGCTGGGGTGCTGGGTGAGGAAGGGCTGCTCGTAGAACTGCTCCTCCTGCGAGTCCTGGTTCCAGTATCCCTCCACCACGGGCACAAATGGCAGACCGATGTTGTTGCGCTGATCCTCGGCTGTGATCGTCGTAGGCGCCGCCTCCACTAGCTTCATGGCGGGCACACGGCGGAGGAAGTCGAGAATTTCCTCTGTCTTATTGGCACCCACGTAGCCCAAATTGGCGGCCAACCGGGCAGCTCGCTGGCTGGAGCTGGCCGACATGGACCAGGGGTTCAGGGCTGAGCCGCTCTGGGAAATGGCGCGGTGGAACAGGCCCTTGGACAGGGGCGAGAGGAGCAGCAGCTGCACGGAAGAGGCTCCCGCTGACTCTCCGAAAACGGTCACCTGATTGGGATCCCCTCCGAAAGCAGCGATGTTATCTCGCACCCACTTAAGCGCCAGCACCTGGTCCTTGAGTCCCTGGTTTCCAGGTGCATCGGGACCGGCTGTAAGGAAGCCCAGGGGACCCAGTCTATAGTTCAGTGTAACGAGGACTATATCCTCGGTCACCAGGTAGTCGGGGCCATAGAGGAAGGAGTTGCCGGAGCCAAAGGAGAATCCTCCGCCATGGAGCCACACCATCACAGGCAGCTTGGGCTGCTCCCCGGAGTCCTCCTCCTTGGGCATTCGTGTGGTGAAAACGTTGACGAACAGGCAATCTTCGTCGCCCTTGAAGGTGTCCAGAATCATGTTCTTGTGCGGACAGCTCTGGCCTTCCCGGGAGGCATCGCGAATGCCGGACCACGGCTTCTCGGGTTCAGCAGCTCGGAATCTGGGAATAGGAATAAAATCGTTAATCTTGTAATTTGGAAATTAGATATGTTATCTTACCTTCTGGCTCCTGTCGGCGCTGCGCCGTAGCGCATGCCCTTGAAGCTGTAGTAGCCTCCACGCTCTCCCGATCGGTATTTCTGGTAGCGACCCCGAACCTTGCCCAAAGTCGTGGTGGCCACGATCTCTCGCTCTTTCTGTAAACGAAAATAAAATGTAAAGATTATCCCGTATCAAAGCTGAAGGTTCTTGCCACTGTTAGTTTACTTATTTATTCGAGAAATCCTACTTTGCAATATCTTCTTGTGAGTATTTGCTAAATTTTGCTAATTTGCTAACCGGCTTCTGCATTTCAAGATTCTACCGACCATTTGTCATTGAAAATGGTTAAGCAAATTAAACATTTAAACTTTTAAGCATCTTTGCTTATTTTGGCCTCTAAATCTATTAGTTTATGGTCTATTGGTCAGTTTAGGGTGCTGGCTCATAAGAGGTTCTAAGTGAATATTACGCCAAGCAAACATAATTT